ACACACACACACACACACACCAAGCTCAGGAAAAGGGAGCAGCCAGGAATGAATGCCATGCACCTGCCCAGAGTCAAGCACCTGCTGCCTGCTGGGCACCCAGGGGACACGTGACTGCAGCCCCAGCAAGCAGGAGGCAGGTAGCGATGTGCTGGGACAGGGGCAGTGCGTCCACGGCCTGAGGGATGAGTAGAAAACGTTGCTGCAAGATCAGTACATCTTGGATGTCAGTTCGCAGACCTCCACTGAGTGCTGGCTGTGTGCCCAACAGTAATATGCCTCAAGGCCTTAGGGGAGGAAGAGGAACTCCCTTATTCCAAGGAGCTGTGATGTGCCAGGCGCTCTTCACACATGTCATCTTCTCACCCTCACAATAACCCTGTGAAGATGGTGTCATCTTCATTCTACAGATGAAGTCATTGGACCTTCCAGAGATTAGGTGACTTGCCCAAACCACACAGCTAAAAGATGGTGGAAATGTGTATTTACATTTTGGGAGTGTCCAACGCTGGGACCATACAAGGAGAAGAGCCCTAGCTGGTTTGGTTCAGGGGTTGGAGTGTCGGCCCCGGACGGAAGGGTCCCGGGTTCGATTCCATTCGAAGGCATGTACCTACCTCATTTGCAGGCTCAATCCCCAGCCCAGGTCGCTCAGGCAACCAATCAATGCGTCTCTCACATCGATGTTTCTCTTTCTGTGTCTCTCCCCTCTTCCAATCTGTCTAAAACTCAATGGGAAAAAATATCCTCAGATGAGGATTAACCAGAAGAATAGACCCGGGACTGAAAGAGGATCTGCCAGAGTGGAGGGAAATGGCCAGGAGACAGTCTGATGCCAAACCGGCCTGGAAAGGGAGCCTTTTCAGGACCAGACAAGTTATGGTTCTAAGATAGGGGCACTGGAAGGAGAGAAAGGATCTTTGCCATCAGAATCACTAAAGATTTAGAGATTAGACTTTTAAAAACAAAGTAAGAAATCTGAGAATTGAACTCTGGTATTGGTTTTTTTAATTAAAATTTTTTTATTTACTGAGTTGAAAGAGAGAGACTTGTTGTTCCACTTATTTACGCATTCATTGGTTGCTTCTTGTATGTGCCCTAATTAAGGATCGAACCCGCAACCTTGGCATAGTGGGACGACACTCTAACCAACTGAGCTACCCGGCCAGGACAAAAATTGTATACTTTATGATGTGTTCTCCTGATATTTCCTGTACCCACTTGGCACCATGCGTAGTGCAGTATTATTGACTATATTCCCTATGCTGCACTTTACATCCCCACGAGTATTCTGTAACTACACTTTCACCTTTTTCACCCCGTCCCCCAACACTCCCTCCTCTCTGGCACCCATCAGTTTGTTCTCTGTACCTATGAGTAAGTTTCTGTTTTGTTTGTTTCAGTGGTTCTCAACCTTCTGGCCCTTTAAATACAGTTCCTCATGTTGTGACCCAACCATAAAATTATTTTCGTTGCTACTTCATAACTGTCATGTTGCTACTGTTATGAATCGTAATGTGAATATCTGATATGCAGGATGGTCTTAGACGACCCCTGTGAAAGGGTCGTTCGACCCCCAAAGGGGTCGCGACCCACAGGTTGAGAACCGCTGACATAGCA